GGTAAACTGAGCTACATACTTTATTAATCAACTGCAGGTTGACTGTTTTGTTTTGTGGAAGTATAGAAAACAGTCATTTATTCAAAAAATGGAATTTTTTTCCTCACACAAAAAAAAGTATGTCTGCAGCAAGCCCAGCTATGCTGCCTGTGAATGAGTACTCCCTGGAACAGTTGTCACGGTTGCCTTGTAAATGGAGACGAGCAGTATCTTTGAGAGCCGAGCCGGGACCTGCCAGAACACAGTGTGGGCATGCTCAGGGGAGCTGCCCACAGTTCACTTGCTTTGGCTTTGTGTCCAGTAGACTACGTATGGGGTTTTTTCATGTCATTGCAATAGGTTTTAGGTTGTGTGAGGGCAGCAGTCTCTATTCTTACTGTAGAAACTGACATGGCCTACTGGTGCCATATGAATGTTTTTTAGAAGTGTTACTTTACTGTTCTTAACTTCTCACTTTCCCAGCAGCTTTGTAGAATGTTCTTTTCATAGGGACAGTTTTTTTCTCCAGATACTATGCCTTGTCTAGAGCTAGTATTTCATTGAACTGTAGAAAGGTCATCCAGCCCAACCCCCCCGCCCCTGCAGTGAGCAGGGACAGCTTTAACCAGATCAGGTTGCTCAGAGCCCCGTCCAACCTGACCTGGAATGTTGCCAGGGATGGGGCATCTGCCACCTCTCTGGGCAACCTGTTCCAGTACCTCACCACCCTCACAGTTGAGAATTTCTTCCTCGTATCTAGTCTAAATCTAACCCCTTTCAGTGTAGAAGCATTACCCCTGTCCTATTGCTACAGGCCCTACTAAAAAGTCTGTCCCCTCCAAGTACTGAAAGACCTCAATAGGGTCTCCCTGCAGCCTTCTCTTCTCCAGGCTGAACAACCCCAACTCTCTCAGCCTGGCCTCATAGCAGAGGTGCTCCAGCCCTCGGATCATTTTTGTGGCCCTCCTCTGGACCCACTCCACCAGGTCCATGTCCTTCTTGTGCTGAGGGCTCCAGAGCTGGACGCAGTGCTCCAGGTGGGGTCTCACCAGAGCAGAGTAGAGGGGCAGAATCACCTCCCTCGACCTGCTGGCCACGCTGCTTTTGATGCAGCCCAGGATACGGTTGGCTTTCTGGGCTGTGAGCACACGTTGTTGGCTCATGTCCGGCTTTTCATCCACCAGTACTCCCAAGTCCTTCTCCGCAGGGCTGCTCTCAATCCCTTCATCCCATATTTACCCTATGACAGTTATTTTGCATACAGTAATTTTGACTGTAGGTGTGAGATGATGCTGGAGGAAGTGACCAAACAGCGTACCATTTGTATGCTGCTAGAAGAGCATAAACATTGGGGTCATTATGTGAAACTTGTTACAGTGACTTGGGCTGAGCTGAGAAGTAAGTTAAAAGAGGAGATGCATACATAACAAGCTACAGTGGGTATAAGGTTGCAGTGTAGGAGCTATGCCAAGACTGAGCTTGTATGCATTAGTGTAAGCATGCAGTTGAGTCATAGAGTGGTCCATAGACTCTTGAGTGGCACAGAGTAGACTACTTACTAAAGAACTGAGGGCTATCAAAAAAGAAAACCAAACCCAAAACCAACCCACCACCCACCTAAACCTATGTGTGGTGGTTCTTGAAGCAGCAAACTTGTGAATCCCCCAAACCTGTATGGTTTCTGAAGGAAGTCTTAACAAATACTTGAAAGAAAAATCCATTAGGAATTGCTAAACAGCCCTGGAAGTCCTCTGACTAGGTATTAGTCACAGGCTGTGACAACAGTAGAAGAAAACAAGAACAGAACCAGCATTTGGACACAGCTTCAAGGAAACGGCCGATAGAGAAATTTACTGTTAAACAGAAACCAAGCTTAAGACATATGGCTATTCTTACTACTGGCTTCTAGATAAATTGAACAGGGTTGGAGAAGGAACTACTGCTTTGATCCAAAGTGGGCTCAAGCAACTGAATTATTCAGTGACATGGTGTGGCAGGGGATACAAGGTTTTCCCTTACTCTTTTTATACAGGTAGCATAATTCGTTGCATGAGAAGGCTAGAAGAATTGCTTCGGCAGATGTGCCAGGCTGCAAAAGCCATTGGAAATACAGAATTGGAAAATAAGTTTGCAGAGGGTATGTATTTCACTTCCACAGTATAAGAAGTAATTCTAGAAAGCATATGAAAGGAGGGAGTGAGGGGGGCAGGGCATGGGTAAAAGATTTGGGAATATAAGCTTTTGGTGTTGACTTCATGGTAAACAGCATCATTGCTCTCTTTCCAGATAACATCTATGTTTTAAGTCAAACTTTCTAAGAGGTAGTGTTTGATGCATAGTGACAGTTTAACCAAGTTTGTGACTGAAAATGGATGTACAATGACTTCCACTTAAGACTTGCAACACTTTCTCTACGGCAAAGTCTTACATTCCTGTAACTGCATTTAAAATAGTGATTGTGTCAGTTATGAATGCTGGATATTAATACAATTTTCCTTTTTAATAGGGATTACAAAAATCAAGAGGGATATTGTGTTTGCTGCAAGCCTTTACCTGTAACAGAAGGTATCTTCTAATCATCTAATAATCTACTAGATTCACATTATGGAACAAGTTTGTCTCAAGTCATTGTTTCTTTTAATGGTGTGTATTTAAACCACAGTTGTTTCAACAAGGCATGTACAAACAGCAGTGTATGTAATGTAACTGTTACCATGTTTTCAATAAAAATTTACAGTTTGAATAGCTTTTTTTTTTTTGTCTTTTAAGGAAGAGCTTAAACCAACAGGAATTTAAAGTTTAGATATACAATAACTGTGGTAGATGTTACTATATACAGGTAAAGTGAGCATCCAAGAGCAGCAGCAGTCCCTTAAAGGCATTTACTTATATTACATAGTTAGACTTGTGAAAGAGCAAGACGGGTGGGGTGGGTCATTCTTCATGGTTGATGATTGCTGCCAAAGTGATTTCCATTTGTTGGAGTCTCATGTAGGGTTGTATGGGAATCCTCTTTCGGTTGAAATGTACATCCTCTCACTTTGAAGAAGTCAGACACGTACACAACCTAAGTGAACAAATTAGTGTTAAGCTCCTGCATTTGCAAGTCTTTCAAACACAGGGTAAATGCTTTTACAGAAGGTAATTCCATGATCAAAACTAATACAAAGTTTAAACAGATTAAAACATTAGAAAATTTTAGAAAATTATTAGAAATTAGGGTTGCCCAGGGAGGTAGTGGAGGCCCCATCCCTGGCAACATTCCAGGTCAGGTTGGACGGGGCTCTGAGCACCCTGATCTGGTTAAAGCTGTCCCTGCTCACTGCAGGGGGGGTCCCTTCCAGCCCACAGCATTCTATGATTCTGTGAAAATTGTTAGGAAGTCTTGTGTAAAATTCTGGCATCTGTTCTTTCACTAGCTTTTTCTCCAGCTATTACTCTGCCTCCCACCAACCACTTAGCCACTGATGGTTTAAGCCAAATTCAATGCTTGTATGCTAACTGCTCCAACTGCATTATCAGGTACTGCTTCATTACAATAGCCATAGTCTCAATAACTAAATGAAGGAGCAAGACACCCTTGCTGAGGGCCCACATCACACATACAGTTAAATTTAGTAGTTTATTTAGAACAGGATGGAGAACTTGTGCTTTAGCTGAGGAAGAGGGTTCATTCAATAGTAACTATTATTCTCTGGAGTGTCACTCTCCCTTGCGTTTCTTTAAAAGCTGGTTAAACTAAGCTTGGATTCCTCTCTTTGGCAAGGTTCACAGGAGCTCCCTCCCCAGTACATGTGTCTCACCTGCAGCTCCAGCAGCTGCAAGGCTAACTACCTATGTTATCCTTTCCTTCAAAAATACCACCTCACTTCCTTCACAGCTACAACTATGAGACAGGTGTCTGGATCCAGTTCTGCAGCTTGCTCTCTTCCCGCTGCCCACTTCACCAAGTTCTCTAGTAGGCATGCTGGGTACAGTGCTGCATGAAGTGCGATAAATGAGAAGCCTTCTCTCATGATTTCTTCCCTTCCTACATCACCTATTCCCCTCCCACTCTGAACCTGAGAACTGCAGAACACAGTTTAGCATAGCAGAAGAAACCATCTTCCACACTGAGGGCTGGCTGATGACCCAGCATGCTGCTTCAGCTGCATACCAGATAAGTTTCAGCTTCCACTTAATGCTAAACTCGCTCAACTCAATTTAGCACTCCATTTGCAGTTGCTGCCCCAGCATGCTCTCACCTCAGCTTTCCATTTCTGGAGGTCAACTCTTCAGTTCTTTCAGGTAAGGGTTTTCTTTGGGGTTTTTTATTTTTAAAAATAATTTCCTCACTTTTCAACTCTGATCACTGTAATGCCACCTTCTACTCATTCTTATATTACCAGGCATCTCTTAAGATACCCTCTCAGTCATCCAACACCCTTCACTAAACTTGTTTTCCTAATAAAAGTGCCCTCAGCTCTTCAATCCTTGATATTTCTCATTCCCTGCACTCCTTTTCTTAGAAAATGAGACTGTACAAAAACAAGGGGTAAAATTATGTTTTAGTCAACATGCAGCCATTTAATAGCAGCTAATGCAGTATGTAGGGTTTCCTGAGATTTGTTTTGATGACTGACTGCAATAAGTGAACAAAGCTTTGTCTTGAAATGAACCATACCCTTCTGACTTCCAGCTGAGGAAGCAGAAAATCTTGGAGGCGGTTCTTCCAGGTGAGCCTCAGTTCTTGGTCACTGAATTCTTCAGTATGACCTCAGTTAGCTCACGTCTCTGAACCAGAAGTCTCCCTGATCTGTCCCTTCCCATGGATTAATCAACTGTGGCACTCTGGTGACAGCCAGCACAACTGCTGCCACTAAGTCAACCAGGCCTGCAGCTCCAGGTTTAGCTGATTCTCTGTTCTACAGGATAGCTTTTCACTCATCAGTACAGCCAAGCTTCACAGGGTGGTTGTTGTGAACACCCTTTTGGCACTCAAAATGCAGACAAGAAGTAGTGAAGGATTTTAGTTTCCCTTCAGACTGAAAAAACACAGGCTGTATAAACTGGCAGAGGCAGACACTTCCACACTGTCCTTGCCCTTTAAAGGCCTTTCCCCCCCCCCCCCCCCCCCCGCTTACCTCATACACCATTCTCCTCTGCTACTGTACTTGAGATTTAGAGTTTGGCTGGAAGCAAAAGGTATGGCTATATAGAGGTCCACACAGTTTTGCAGTGGACTGTTTTCATCTATTTGTTATTTAATCTATTGGTTGAAAAGCTCTTGGGCAGGGACAATTTCATATTGTCTAATAGCTAAAACAGCCACTTGTCTCAGCACTGGCCCAGAGTCTGCCTCACTCCCCAAAGTACTGGTGCTACCCCCAGTTCAAGGAGTTGTTTCCCCTCTCCAGCAGTTCCAGAGCATCAGGAAGACAGGTCGGCTTTCCTCTGAACACAGCCTGCAATTCTAAGGTGCTGTTTATAGAAGCAGGGTTTACACCCCCCCGCCCCCATCAGGAATGACTTACAATGAGCACAGCCACCACCGCTCCCTGGATGAGTCCTGTTAAAACATCACTCCAGTGGTGCTTGTAATCAGAAACACGCGAGAGACCCACATAGATAGATGCAGCAATAAGACCAAACTGTATAGTAGGACGTACAAGTCTTGCCCAGTCTCCTTTCATTCTGGCCTGAAGGTAAAGCTAGAAGGAAAAAAAAATCATCATAAAATGCAGCAAATACAGAAGCAGTAATCATGTAAAATTGTGTTGTGCCTGTTAAAAGAGTTGACACTCATGTTCAGACACATGATAACGTCCACAAATGTTCCAAGTGCTATACTCTCACAAGTATGCTAAGGCGGAGTTTGATAGTGGGTGTTGGTCTTTATGTTTTATATAAACTACATAACACCATCATATAGATACTTGCTGTATTTGTACCAATGTGACAAATTACTGTTTTCAGGATAAAGGTACTGGTAATACCAGACCCGTTTAAGGCTTAGACAGAATCCAGTGGAAGTCAAACCAGTATTTTATTCCTGTATTAACTACAGGTAAGTCTTATACAAAAAAAAAAAGCTGGCAACCATCCAGATTTACAGTCCTCCAAATACAGGGAGCCCCACCTTGCTCTGAGCAGGAAGACCACTAGCATCTTTAGTGAAATTTACACATACTATAGATAGAGCTGACAAGTTTTTAACTTTATTCTCAATTCCAGTCACCTTTAGTGTTACCAACTTTTAGCATAATACTGCAGCTGTAGTTAAGCATTACAAGAAGTAACTTGATAACATCTAGAATCACATTCCTCAGTTGTCACTGGTATATTTCACAGAGCTCCATCTGTTCCTCATCCTTTTTAGCTGCATATTAACCATGTTACCACTCTGGCAAGCAAGTGGATATGTGCAGTTCCCATGCTTTTTCTCTCCCCTCCACTCTATGTTGTGTATATCTATGCTTTTGATGTGTTATCTCAAATTCACAGTATTTAACTCTATTACTTTCCCATCTAATCTAAGACCCTGCTTTTGACTGCTTCTCTGGTCTGTCTAGGACAGAGACCTCTTCTTTCAGCTGTAAGAGGAGCTTCTCCAAAGCCACCCTCTAAACATCATTAAAAGTATTCTGGAACTTGATCCTGTCACCAAAAAAGGCACCATAGTTACCATACTTAACAGAGAAGAACAATACAGTTGGAAGTTATATTTAACATTTCAAGTATATCTTTTCAGTAACACCTAGGAACTTCAGGTCGAGTACAAAACCTTAACTGACAGTCTTGTGAAATCGTAGAAGCTAACTACAACACAGGCTTTCAGGCACTAAGACAGCACACTACTGGTAAATCCCTCCATTGCCAATTTCAAAAGCCATGGCTACCTTTTAGAAGCATTACATTTACAATGTAAATACAGGCATAGAGCATGCACTGTAGATGCAAAGGTGCTACTTTCCAAAGTTAAACATTTGGGGAATGTTTGGGTGGTTTCTCTGAGTAACTTACATCATAATTTTGGCATTTTGGCTGACTTCTTCAGCTATAAATGGATCACCAAAGAGATCAACCCTATCCATAACTGCTTTTCTTTCATAGCAAGGGTGAAGTTGGACTCTGAAGATGCTACAGCTAAGCCTGAACTGGAAAATAATTTTTCTCCCCTCAAGCGGTGGACATGGTGTATTTCTGGGGACCTTAATTTCACCACTAGGGAAAATACTGTTTAGCCACTTCAAAAATTAGCTGTCACACAGTTCTTTTAACAAAAGGTGTTTAATGGTCTTACATTAATACTCCTTCTGGATGTACCAACAGCAGACCAGACCACTCACTACCTGAGTGCCAAATGGAGCAGAGGTGGGTCCAAGGAGCACATGCTGGTAGCCTAAAAAGCGCTGGCTGATGATTCGATACTGCTGTAATGAAGTTTTTTCCACATAAGCATTTCTGGTAGTTGGCAAAGGTGTGTGGTTGTATTAGAAAGAAAAAGGGTTACGCAACCGCGGATAGGTGGGAAACCCGTATTACTTCTGAACAGAGGAAGAAAATGAGGCAAGCCTCACAAAAAGCAAGCTTGGAAACATGCCAGCCCACAACACCGAATGACCAATAAAACAGCCTTTGAATCTCCCTCACACAGCATGTATTCAGATTTTCTTTCTGCTTCACAAAGCATCAAACAAGAAACTTGGATTTAACATCTACGTGAAGACAATTTCTGTACTGGGAGAGAAGACCTGGAGTTGCTTTACCATCTGCAGAACACATGCAGTTGGCTACAGGCTTCATCAGTTCTAGGTGCTTCTTCATACCACCAACTCCAGTAGCTGTACAGGAAATGCCCAAAGCCCTTCTTGCACCTTCTACCGGCAGATGGATTTATATTATTCTAAAACTAGGTATAAGAAGGGTGAGAAATCATACCACAGGTAAGTGTCAGTGACTGATCACTGCTGTGTTTAATTCCAGAAGTAGCAGCTGTTTTTCTGGTTACTATTGCTTTTTGCTGTTATATTTTTGTTCAGTTGAGAGTAATTGCTTATTAACCAACTGCTGCACTGGTAAATTCCATGTTATTTTTAAGCAGGTAACTTCAAACTGAGACTGCTTTTAATAGGCCCAGGCAGTCATACTGCCCTGCAGAGATTCTTCCTACTACCACAACTCACTCTTAGACAGTGACATGTCTGAGCCAAAACAGCCCAGCAGGGACCACACGGGAAAATAAAGCATCCAAAGGGAAGATGGAGCTTTTGTCTTATAGTTCCATTAAATATAGTTCCATTCATATAAACCAAGGTTGATACCAGAAGTATGCCCAGGAGTCCCTTATATAGTATTAGTCTTTATATAGCATTATATGCACAATATAAAGATGTCCTGGCATTATGCTGTATTAACACTTACTACTATTTTGACCCTGTTGACTAACAGAGGGCAATGACTTCAGACTGTTTACAGAACCCCTCCCGATACGCATGCCTCAGGTTCTTTTGCTCCTCTTTGAAGTCATTTACAGCACAGGCTCTAAAGGGAAACAGAAGCAAATCCCTGCCTGCCTCCCCACCCAAGTCTCTTTGCTATAAAGGAATAAGCTTTACAAGTAAAACTTGAACCTACAGAAGTAGCAGGAACTTTAGGTTCTTTAGATTAAGATCCAGGATTTTTAAGATTTAGGAACTTTAGATTAACGTCTAGTTAATACTACTGTAATGCCCCTCACCAGCATTTCACTTGTTGCTGAGAAATACATTTGTGAGCCTATGGACACAGTAGGAGCATCTAGAACAGTTCTGGGAGCAACGCACTCCGATCAGTGACAGCTATTTGACCATGCTAGCTTCCCTGCTATCCTGTTTCTGAGCATCTGTCTGATGATTCAGTAATATCAATGATCTAGTTCTTTTCAGTCCTCCATCCTACTTTTTTTTAGTCCTCCATCCTACTTTTCTCATGTTTGTTTTCTTCATTCTTTTTAAAGGTGCACAAATAGATTCATAGAAAGTTTCTTGTAATGGGATTAAATGATCTCCCAACTTTTTTGCCCTACTAGCTAATGCTTACTGTATAATGAAAATATGTTCTCTATGCCACACACATCCTGAACACAAGTTTCTTCTTAATCTATGGTCTAGTACTTCATTTCTAAAAATACACACAGGAATGAAGAGAAACTCACAGCCACTTTGTGGCTTCTTGCAAGAAGCCACAGACATGAACAGAAGGGTCCCTGCAACTGGAGAATTATTTGCTACTCTTAATGTTTCTAGCATAGCTTTCAAGTATTTGCTCTTCCACCAAAGCAGTATTAATATATATATACATATGCCTGCCTACCTAATTTTAAAGTACAGCAACTTTTATTTCCTGTTTGGAGGTGTAACCATGAGGCTTCACAAGAAATTTTTGTAACAGCTAACGTCTCACATCCCCACTTTAAGGGCACAAAATTCTTTTAAATCTACCAAAATGTACTCACTACACTAACCAAGGTTATATTTCAGATACTTAATGTCAATACTTAAAACTCCTCAGTCATTTTTCATTCAATACCTTCTCAGCTTTTTTCCAAAATACTATTACACAAAAGTTCTGTACTGCAAAATGTTTTGCCTATTAAGGTATGGGATATCCTCCTGCACTCGCAGTCCTCCTTCAAGAATGGAGGTCAAAAAGGAAGAAAGTTTTGGGGGGTTTTCCCCCCACCCAAGAAGTTTTACTTGTACCAATTGATTTGTTCTGTCAGTTTTCAAAAATGGATTTTCTTCAATGGGATTTTATGTTTCCTGGTATCAAAAGGCCCTAGTAATTGCATTTCCTACAGGTGTCCTGTTCTGTCCTAAGGAACAGAAGCACTTTCCCTTTGGACATGTAACTATTTTCCCTCTTATTTTTGTCTCCTCAATCCAAAAATACTCACAGCATCATGAACTTAATAGCTAAACAGAGAAAGAATATGGTTTTCCTAGAGAGAAAACTCCCCTGTGACACAGGGAAATGAGAACACTTCTCAATTTGTCCGAGTACAAGTAGTAATAGTCTGGCAGAGAAACAAAGGTGCAGAAAGTCAGTTTACTTATGAAATAAGCCCTACTTTGAGAAACCATAGTAGTCAATAGAAGTGTTGGGAGAGAGCAAGTAAATGGCATTTATTTGCTTTACTTAGCTTAGCATTTACCATTAGTCATGTTTAACTTTGGTTTCACGATATCTGCCTGAGCATTAAGAAAAAGCCCGGTGGCATTACTGTTTTGCTCTTAACAGGCACAAGATCCTACTGCAGTTATAATTAGTATTTGGATCCATTATTGACTACAGTTAGAAAAGCTCATACTTCGAAGCAAGTCTGCTGACCCAAAAGTCCCAAGAGCCACAAACAATAATCAGTGCTGTGGAAACCCACCGTAAGGATTCTTCCCAAACCAAGAAGCTCTGAAACAGTAATGCATAAGCCACCTCAACTGTGTGTACACGTGTATGTGGTTGGCTTGGGGACCTGTGTGGTGGAGGGAGGGGATATGAAGGTACTGTGTTTTGGTGGTTTTGTTAATGAAGCAGGGGTGGAAGCAAGAAAGCAAAGCACAGTAGGCACCACTGTTTGAAAGTTTTCAGAAAAAACAGCCTCAGAGTAAGTAATATGATAAAAGATGGGGCAAAATTCTCCAGGAGACCTGTGGCTGAGAATCCAGGCACA